TAGACTTTCTGATTATGATTCATTGTATTATGAACGTAAAATTCGTTGTTTTGCATTGAAATATTATAAAATAAAAGCACTTTTTTGTCAGTGCTCTTTGCTCTTTATCACTCTGCCGAGAAAATCAATGCTATGGAGGATGTGGATCTGGGAATCCCGTGTTAGTAACGTTACTGAAACTTTTATAAGGTGAGCGCAGCTATGCCAGGCCTTTCGGTGCTAGACTACAGGACCTCCAGCGAATATCCAATAACCGTTCGATAAGTGTACGCCTCCTCTTCGGCGACCACTCGAGTGATCGTTTACTTTCTCAAGGGTACTACTCAGAAATGCGCGATGTACACCGGTGTTGACAAGGCAAGAACATCATGCCTTGTCCACAGGATTTTACTTTTTACTTCGTCACAGTCTTTCCATGTATAGTTTCTCAAAGGCTCGATATATCGAAAAATGCCGACGGTGAAAAAGTAAAACCCTGTATATTTACCGTGTTCGTCCACTGTAAGACTCGCAACAACTTATCGCTAAAACGCATAATAGAGCCTGTTTAACGAGTTTGGTAGAGGAGGGTTTTTGCCCGCTTGCTTGCTTCTTTTTTCCAGAGACAGCAAGTGCTGCCGACTGAAATATACGACTATTAAACCACAAATGTCGTCTCGCATCCGCACCCAAACTCGTTTTCTGCTCTCTAATCACTGTGTGCCGCAGCACTCTTCGTCTTACACGGATTGTCGTCAAATTTCCTATTAGCTTCAGACTTGCTTTTTTATTTTATAACTATATGCTTGTTTCTGCGCTTGTATAAACAAGTGGAATTATCGTATTTTCTGAAGCAAATTCTTCTTTTTGACTTTCTTTTTACTTTAAAATGACTTTTTTGCATGAGTGTTCTTCTGCACGTATATTGTAAGCATTATTAGTGAGTTGTACCAAAAAAAAAACAAATGACCATTCGGAAAGTTCCGAAGAAAGGGCACATATACTGGAACAAGTGGTGGGTGTTAGCTGGAAGTATAAGTCCAAGATCGAAGGGCCTGGATGGCTGCGCTCAGCTTGTGGAGCATCCCAATAACATCACAGGCGCGTGACACTTAGACTGGTCGTCCGAGCGATCTTAGTATTCTTGGTATTGTTATCACTATTTTTCATTATTGTTATAGTTATAATAATAATTGTTATTAAGATTTCGAACGACTAGAATGGCTGCTTAGTGCAATGACTTACTGCTGAAAAAACAAACTGACTGAGATGAAAGATAGGACTGACTGAGGAAAAAAAACAGAATTTAGCCCATATGTGTAATATCTAAACATAAGAGCAAAAATTTAACTAAATGAGGAAAACTTCATTTTAAAGATAGGAAATTTGCTTCAAAAAGCCGAAAAATCGGTTTTAAATTGTCCTTGAAATCGCTAAAATTCGGAAGAAAAAACATGTCATATTGTTCCTTTTTTTCTAGTTTCTGGAATCTTTTTTTGGTATGAAAACAATTGGCACAATCAATCTCTATATGATTTACATTTGTTGTAGTTTGGTATCGGCATATGACAAGAAGATGAAGCTATCGCTGTCCTGCCATAAGCCACTCTTGAAAGATGGAACCTTCGAAAGAGCCTTGGCAGCCATGACTGCATATCGCTGACTGACGTTCCGATTTAGCCACTGCGGCAGTTAACTGCTCTTTGATTCTTTTTTTCTTTTTGATTGACAAGAAATGAGCAGGGGCTCACTTCTGGGCAGCCCTTGCAGGAAGGAGTCATCAACAGCTATGCCAAAAGGTGATTGCTGTTAGCAGGGTTACCACCCGGGCCAAACCTGAATGCCTTCGCTCCCCTAAAAAGTAAATATAGCAGAGTTTTTATCTTTTATTTCTTTTCGGAAATAATGTGACATTTGTTTTCACGCCATTTTTCCACTGGCGTAATGTAAGGGGAGAGAGATGGTCCCCTCGAATGTAAAAGGGAATATTCTAAATATTAGAAATCCGTTTTTGAATATTGGTGATTAATGGGGTTGTTGATGCTACGACCTGGCCGGATACTCGTATGGTCCCCAGATGTTCCGAGAAGCAGCGCCGGTCCTTTGTGAGACGCCAGACTTTCTTATTTGTGATACCCCGGCTTTGTCCGGGCCTTGTTTGTTACCTCTGCGGGTCAGTGTGTGCTATCGGGGAGGTGTGGTTTTTGTTTTGTTGTATAAGCGAGCCTTAATTCAGAATAAACACAGTTCAGCACCAGTTCCAACCGGCGACAACACCGAACCAGACACGCGTCATGATTTTCCCCCTCGGCTCCACACAAACATCCTCACATGCTTCACGCCACACACGACACGGACTCCCTAGGCCCATATTCAGGCAAGTCTGGCCACTTAGCGCCACGTCACTATAAGTAATTTAGGGCATTGCGTGCAACCTATACTTAGTGTTTTCCCTATTTTAACCAAAAAAATAATTAGCCAGTACAACAACGTTTTTTGGTACCTTCAGAGATATTTTAGGACACGGTAATTTCATGCTGCTCATAATATTATGTTTTTTAATAATTACTGCACTGGTGATGATACGTAAGTTTGTTATCGATCGGGCGACAGTGGACATGAACAAGAGAGCCATACTGGTCACTGGGAGCAGCGCCGGTCAGTTCCTTTCACTTTTTCAAGCGTCCCATCTGTGTGGCATAACTTGAGGATTAGGGATATTTACGTAAGTCGTAATCTGAGATTCCGTTACTCATTTTAGGCAGCAACCAAAATTTGATAACTTCACTTCTTCGGACTTTCGAATGTTTTTC